ACACTTAATTAAAATCTCCAAAATTTAAACTACAGTCTACAGTCTACCCTTTAACGAAATAATTACATTACTGGAATTAATTCCTTTTTAAATAGCCAACAAAACACGCTAATAAATAGCAACAATCAGACAAATAAATAATAAGAGATAAGAGCAGCAGCAACTAAGAACATTAAGGTTATTTCTGAACTTATATAACAACGGCGCAACTTAATCGCGATAAAAGTAGCTCCCTGTGGGCTTATTATGTCTACTGCTTAACTCTTCTTTCTTGCCCCCTTTTTTCGTTTTATTTTACATTTTCTGCTTAATTTTTTTTTATCTCGTCCACCAATTTGTATTTGTTGTTATACCATGTTGTTGCGTTTCTGTTTGTCTACCTTTAATGCTGAACTGGCTCGAATGCCAAAGGACTTCCGGTGGTGCGCCGCCGCATAGCTCTAAAAAGCAGCAATTGAAGTGCAGCGTAAAAGAATCAAGTTGAAAATAAAATTGTCACAGAAAGCGAAAGTCTAAAATGAATTTTACGCTTCAAACTAACAGCAGTAAAAAATACGGCAAAAAATGGTGCACCGTCAATGGTGGGAATAAAGTCTGTGCCGCAAATATCGCGAAATCGATGCAGCTTGCCACTTTTCAATCAAAACATGTTGCGACAACACCGACAACTTGTGTACCCTGTTTGCTGTTGGTTTTGTATTCTTGACGCTGAACTCATCGGATTTCAGTTGAAAATTTACTGTGATTTGTCCTCGTATCTCCACAAACTGCATATTTTTGTGTAAAAGCTTGTAAGTTGTGTAAAAGCTTGTAAGTTGTGTAAAAGCTTGCAGACGGTTGCTTTACGGTGTGCAGTGTTCAGAAGCTGCACGAATAGGCACCATGAAATTATTTTAAAAATTTCAAGATTTCTTTAATTGAGGGTCAAGGTTTACTACATAAAAGTATGTCTGGCCAAGCTGTGGACTACACATCTCGGATGACTCTCTATAATATACAATTTTATTGAGACCCGAACTCTGTGGACGTAATACTGTATTAATTAAGGAATAATATTATACTTTTATGTTTATTTCTTGTATCGGTTAGCGAGGTATCAACCAAGTACTTACGTCTGATAATAGTCATTAAACCTGCCAGTTCACTTTCGAACCTTAAACTATTGAAAATATAAGAAATTACATGAGCTCTTCAGTGGAATATTTACAAGATTATTTAATATTTCACAGAATGTGTCCGTCTTCGTGCCAATCCACACTCTACTCTTATTTAGAAGAAGTTTTAACCCCTCACGAACCATGCTTATGAAAAGGAAATAACGTGAAAATATGCTAAATCATATTAATTGATAACTAAAAGGATCGCATAACATTTTCTGCAATAGAACTCTTGGAAAGAACTATAGGTTTATATATATTTTTAAAGGTTATTCTCTCTGTTTTAAATTATTTCAAACTGCAGAGTTTTGAGAGAGGTTACACAATTGGCTGAGCCCCAGAAGAACTTTTACCGAGGGTTTATAAAGGAAAGTCAAATAATAGTTTTATGCAGGAATTGTGTATTGGGGAGTAATCTAAAATGATGCCATAATTTTCAAATGAATACGAGTATCTCGAAACGTAGATAACTATAATTAACAATATATTTTTTTTGTCCGCTCCACTGTGCGGCAGTTCATTTCGCAGTACTTATAAGCGTTGTTGGTGCTTTGTTAATCGACAATGCCATAAAGTGATAAAGATGGACGCCAACAAATTGTCAATGGATCAAAATAAAATGATTTATGGCCGGACACTGCTTGGTGCTGTTGTTGTTGTGTTTATGCTGCTGACGAGTGGTTGCTGCCAAACTAGATTGCCGAACCGGCATGGAAAATCGGAGCTGCAGGAATATGGTGAGTGGGTTGTTTGTTGTTGCGACAGATTCCCTTCGTTTTGCGCAACTTTCGAGTGGATGTATGCCGCATTCACCTTTATTATTCACATTCATACACATATGTTTATATGTATTTATGAGTTAATATATATAGTGCATAGCTGCTCGTCCGAGGGGACACTTAACATGGCATACCAGTTCTCTGTCCTTCAACAGCCCCCGCCACATACGGTTTGTCGCATTACGAATTTTATGCATTGATTTCTTTTTGGAGTCGGGAAAGAATGCTGCCTCGCTGCTGCCTATAATTAAGTTTTATAATTATAATTGACATCCTAGCGTAAAGCCAATTATTTTGCTGTCGACTTTTTCATGGTCAGTACAGGAGATACACCAGTACACGTGTACCCGTGCGTCTTCCAGTGGTGGCACCGGCAAGTAACGAGGATATGTGCCCCACTGAATTTATGACTACTATGTGTTAACAAAAACTGCTTAGCCGGCAGGCCAGCGCGAATATGACGATGACCGATGAGCAGCTAGAGTGTGACTGCTCCTAGGCACAACAGCGTGTATGTACGTATATACATACATGTCGCATGGGCACTTCATTCGCCTGTCAAGCGAGTGACTGTATCACTTGTCATGCCAATGCAACTTTATACAGCAGCAAGGACAGACTTGTCTCGTCAATTGTGTTGATTTATATCGTGCAATTATTTATAATTAAATTTTACTGAAGGCCAATTGTAGTGAAACTATAAAAAAATTAAAATAAAACGAAGGGCCGTGTCTAAAAAAGGCTTTGTTGAAGCTAGGAGCGGAGAGTTGGCAGTGGACGATGGCAAAGAAATCATGGACAAAATACATTGAATTTGTATGTACAAATATATGCGCTGACATGTACTGCAACATGTAATTATTAATCGTTATAAGCACTTTTGTGATGCGACAGTCACGAAGTGAATCGCTGTAGCCAACGACAAAGGAGAAATCAGTGAAACTACGCTTATTTATTTAATAAATTATCGAATAATTAATTGCTGAAGCGTAACAAAGTTTTAGTTAATAATGCATATATTAATTGCTTTTATATTTTTTGTTGTAAAATGAGGAATTAATAGATGCATCACAATGTGGTGTTTGACTTGCATTCAAATATCCGATGAGCTTCATTTATAGCTTTAACAGTCAACTTATGCCTCAATTCCGTTCTACAGAATGATATTTTTTGATACACTCGCGAATTTGCATTCGGAATGAGTGACTTAATCTGGGAGCGACCAGGGACCAATATTTTTCATACAGCTCTGCATTTCTCTTCTCTGGGCCTATGAAATTTGATAATTATAATTTTAACGTTTATTGTTAAGACTTCATTAAGATTTGCATTTCTAGACAAGAACTCTTAAAAATACTGCACAGATTTAAACTGGTCCCCCATTTCAAAGTTCACAACCTGACAAATTTAGTTTATTCGGGTGGTTTTTAGATGAAAACCGTCGACCTTTTTTTATGATATTATGAATTAAATTTTGTGTTTTACATTACTTAAAGGCAATAAAATTAAGATTTTTAGGGTCCAATATGTTCTTTTTAAGAAATCAGGAGACACTTCTTTACCATAACACGGAATAAAAAATGTCTCACTGGGTGTCTTTAATTTCGTGCTCACTTATACAGGCGCAGTTCCTTTCATGCCGACCCCTGGTTTAAACCAAAACATACAAATTTCATTAATAAGTCGAAGCTTAATAAGACCACTAATCTTATATGTCTTAAAGATTCACCAGTGACTATTTTCAATCAATCAGATTTTTCATTATGGAATGATCTGACCCCCCAAAACACCAAACAAGGAAAAACAATAACACCGAAGAAAGAATATTCTTCACGAAAAAACAAGATCCCATACAAGAACTTGATTTTGATCGATCGGTTTGTTTGGCAGCTATATGCTTTAGTAGTCCGACCTGAACAAGTTCCTCGGAGATTGTACCTTTGGCCTTAGCAATAATCTCTCCAAAATTTCATTGTCAAATAAAAAATGTCTCCATACAAGAACTTGATTTTGATCGTATAGTTTGTATGACAGATATAGGCTATATTGGTTCGATAAATTAGCAGCTGTTTTGGACAGACATACGGATATGGCTTAATAGACTCAGCTCGTCACGCTGATTATTTATATTAATAGCGTCTCCCACGTTTCCTTCTGGGTGTTACAAACTTCGTGGAAAACTTAATATACCCTGTTCAGGGAATAAAAATAGCGCCACATCTTATGTATATACTACGAAACAACCAGCTCCTTAATAGCAAAATGTTTCACAAATTCATAATATGTTTTACTCGAGTGTAATGAAACCTTTTTGGGAGCACACCTGGCAATTTTACGTATGAATAAAGGAAAGGGAAGACTTTCGGTTTAGTCTTGGCCGATATGCTAGAAAGATGTTTTTCGATTTTCGTTATTTTTAAGGCCAATTGGTAAAAATCTGTATATAGGACAGGGCAATGTTTAAAGGAAAGTAAACGACCAGCAAATTTTACGTATAAAAAAAGGGAGGAATAAAAGCAAAGTTATTCTCTTAGAGCTTTCTATAAATTCAACACAAGTAAATGTAACATTTCGATAGCTTGTCTGCTAGAAGGCTTAATAAGCTTTGCAAAATGAATTCTTTACTCTACTTAACAGCAAATAACATTTTTTTATGTACTTTAAGTAATGCTACATAAGTTCGACATCCACAAGATGAAGAGGCTGACGGCGAATATACAGCTGAAGCTCAGGTTGCTCCTTTCCTGTTAATACGAATACACCAAACTCTATAGACCGATATCCGCTCTGTTTACAAGAAATATCTATTAAGCAATTCTATTAGAGCCATTTACACAATTTCAACCCATCATAGATTGCCAACACAATTCCCAAAGGGTTGCCGCAAACCGTACCACTACGCAATAGTTTTGCAATATTTAATTTAAACCAAAACCACCCGCTCGTACTAAGCAACCGCAACTTCCGAGCAAAAACGGTTGACAGGATAACAGCTGCGTCGGTGTAACGGGACATTTGTCGCTTGGCTTACATTTTTACTGAAAACAAATTCAATTGCACTCACCTGAGCATTGAAATCGAAGAAATACTCCGGCCGCAATGGACATGGTAGACCACACTTGCAGGTACCCGGTGACAATAAATAATCCTTTATTTCGTACTGTGTACGAAACGTTGCACCGGTTGGGCTGAAAAAAGAACAAAACACGACAGAATGAGTTGACTGAGGTAAAATATGTAACAAATTAAAAATGTGTAAAACTTGCTAAGTACAAGCAACACACAAACACTGATACACATACAAATCTACATATTTATAAGGATATTTAGCAATCGGTAGCACTCGGCGACACACGCCAGTGAGCACAAAATTAATTCACTCTTTATTTTACGACATGTTTTCGAAAACCTGTAAAGCGGTCTACGAGGGCAAGCGCAGACAGGCGGCAAGTTAGTCCGAGCGAGTCGCATTTGTCAAAGTAGGCAGTTCGTTGTCGTATGAATCGCATATGTACACGCAATTTTAACTTTTTATTTTTTATTTTTATGGTGCGCATCTTGTTCGACCACTTGCTTCGACGGCTGTCTGTCTGTGTGTCGGACTGGCCATTAGTCATTACAATTCCTTGGTTTAGCTCAATTTCAACTAATTATTTGCCCGACGTTTAATTAAGTCACAATACAACAATAACGACATGAATTACCACACAATGACATACAGCTGAGTGACGTCAGCTCTCACACGAACAACTGACAGTTGATTAGCACTGAGCGACTGAGCCGTTGATGGCAGGTGGGTTAAATGTTGAGTTGACATTTTGAGACGCGATTAGTCATGTTGCTGTTTCAATTTATTTATATCAATTTATTTTTTTAAATAATAAATTATTTAATAAAATAGAAAATGTGCTATCATGAATGCAGCACGTGTGATTAAGCGGGGTGGTTTTTATACTCGTGTAATTGAATATTTACCTTCGTATATAATAAGTTGCTTTGAAATAGATTAACATAACCTTACTTTTGTTTAATTTCACAACCTATACCATGATATTTTCGATAAAAACGCTTGATTGAGTCAAAAAAATTGCTGTAAATTGTATTGCCACTCACAACACGGTTTCCAAGTCCGGAAGGACCGGTCTATGAGTATAAACAAGTAGGCCTAAAGAGACCCTACAGTTAAGACATAACTGCGGAGTTCTAAAAATTACAAATCATCTTCCAACGATAAAAACCGTATGTCGCTGAAAATTCAAGATTTTTTCCGAGCTGTGTTTGGACTCAACGGCTTATCTATAAAGTTTTTCGACCAATCCACGCGACTGGGCTACTCGTTTTTCACTTTTTACTATAAAACCTGACGTTCTCATAAGGGAGAAAACTCTGCAGTATATTTAAGGAATTATCAATCAAGTTTATTGCCGAATATATATTGCGAAACCATTAATTAATGAACGTGTGTACAGCTTGTTTACATTAACTGCATAATTATATTTAAATTACTTTTAATTTTCAAATAATAAAAAAATGGGACCATGAAAAATCACCCTTCATAGAGCTAATCTCCAAACCTTCACCATAAAATCCACCAAACAAGTAGATTTCAAAGCAAGTTCGCAAACCACCTGCCATATTTGGGGCATAACTTTTAGTTAATTCAACAATAAAACTTTGGCAACAAACCAGAGCAAATCATATGAAAACACTAATAACACGCAATATATGAGAGTACAACAGCCAATTGGCGGATGAACCATTACGGCCCTTATATAACACGTTTGATATCGAATCAAATAAATGTTTGTACTTGAAATAAGAAGTTTACAGTTTGCTGAAAAGGAAAAGCCAACAAATTTTTCTTCTTAAGTAAAGTAAGTCGTATGGCCTCGAGCGGCTAATGTCTGCGGCCTATCAACACAAAGTCACCGAACAACTTAAATAGCTGACAGCAAAACTTTGAATGATCCCAAAAAGTTTGTGCAGGTCGACAGCAACAGTTTACATGAGCAGATATATATGTACTTGAAGCACATAGAGTTTAGTCTTAAGACGCTGATAAGCTAAAAGTCAAAGAAAGAGCTGGACAGGCCAGAAGCAAGTTATATTTAACCTTCAACTTAAGACAATGGTGTAAACAAACTGCACAAAAGTGACAACCTGAATGTGGCACAAAAATGAAAATAATAACAGCAATAATAAAAGGCACAACATTGCATGAATAGCAGAAGCATAATGGAGGCATTGCGGTTCGGATAATAAATAGAAAGCAGAACAATAACAAAAAATTATATGATAAAAATAAAAAAAAAGTAAGGCATTGAGCGAGGAATGCAATCGGCTGAGAACCGCAACCTATTAGTTAGAAAAAAACATTAAAGTAAGGGAGTGCTTGATGTGAACGAAACCAAGAGCTTTTATGGAAGTTTAGGGAAAAGAAATATGCTTTAGTCTATCATCATTTATCGTTAAAAGTTTCTCAGATTCTAGGGTGCTTAGCCACACCGTCTGATGGCACTATTATCGCAATAGAAATATAGTACGCGGTTGTGGGTTGCTGTTGTTTTCAGCCGAATCGAAGTAGTATATTTGTTTTGACAACGTGGTGAATCAAGCGTGTTCACGGATTTAAAACAAAAATGGTAAAATAGAAATATTAATCGGACTCTATTATCGTTGGCATCGGACGAAAATTGTTTTGCCAAGTGCTACCACGGAGGATAACAAGATAAAAGTACACGATCTCGTACCATAAAGTTACCGAATGAAAGCTTTTTCCGGTGAAGGTTTCATTTTCGTTTGAGTAATGCAATACGTCTCGATTTATCGCGAATTTTTCAACTGATCTTAATGAAACTTTACACAGGTCATCGATGTATAATTTACAAGGTTTTGCACAAAGGAAATTTTTGTTTTTACAAAAAAAAAAACATCAAGAAACTTTCACAAAAATTTGCATTCATTTGTAAAAACGTTTGCTAAAAATACAATTTTCACTTTATTTTTTTCTTCGTCCAATACCTAGTTATTACTTGATCCTATAAGAAGTTCTGCTGTCAACGCGGAGGCACCTTTTCTCCGACTGCCTGTCTGAAATAACGTCGTATTGGGCGATTTTTTGAAAATTTTCATTTGAAAATTTCACAAAATCTTAGTAAAATATGTATCTTTGAAATAATAAATTTTTTTTATAAAATATTTAATTTTTTATATGAAAAAGAATAATTATTGAAAGTGTGCCGTATTTTGCTCGATGAAATCCATGTAACCCTTTATCGAGATCACACTTTGCGTTTATTGTAAGGACTTGTCGCTGAGGCGACAACCTTCTATACGACACTGACTCGGATTTTTTTGAGTTGCCCAAAGTCGACTCTCCTTAGAATGGTTGCGGTTTTCTTTGACGCACACTAACAGATCGTTGAAACTTTCACTTGGTGTTGTTTTCGGCGTGATTATTCCAATGTGACTAAGAAACAATAACACCAAATAGAAGGATGTGAAAGCAGCAGCAATAATACAAAAAGCATAAAAAAGAAATAATAAAAGCAAAAACGGTGATGCATAATAAAACACTGTAATCAAACCTTGATAGTCAGCCCTCAGGTGTAATGAGTAAGCAGCAGACAAGCTGCCACACAGAGCCGGACAGGCGGTCAGGTTGCACGGCGTCGGTGGCGCCACCGCCACAGTCACCACTGATGCGTTTCACTTATTGTTGGCAAATGATGTGCTGGTGGTCGCTGCTTTTGGTACACACACGCACATGCACTCATAAGACCGTGAGTTGGCACTTTAGGTTTTGGGGTTCTGGGTTGAGGTTGAGCATTGTTGCGGCAATAACAGCAAAACTTATACTGCTTAAACAAAACTTTGCGATAAACTGAAAGTTGAAAAAGCTTACGGAAGCATATAGCAACAACAACGGCAATCAAATTGTTTACAATGCAGGAGAACATGCTAAGGTTTGGACCGAAATCAAGTGAGTGCATGTAAAAGTTTCGAGCTGAATGTGCAAATTCCCTGACTTTAAGCCACCGAGGCACATAGGAAAAGGTAAACCGCATACGAGTGCTGGCAGCCACTGAGGAGCCAACACTAAAATAATATGTGAATACACTTATACACACGAACTTGCTAAGCTATTTTAGATCGAACAGGAAGTAAATCTGGTGAGCGAAATGAGGAAGTATTTTTAGCATATAAACAACAACATACACACACATGTGTATACACCAACTTTGTATTGTTATGTGTAAGTCTTTAAACTTTGGCACTCGACCAGTTCATCAAGTTTCAGTGCAGCTGCTTGAAAGTGGCTCAACTCGCCCCCTCAAGTTGCTATCGTCATTGTGAATGTGCATCCCGGCTGTGGTATGAACTTTGGACAACTACTGATGTTTACGAGTATTTATTTTTCACTCTCAGTTAATTTGCATGCTAATGAGTTTATTAAAGTATGCGCCAAAAATGGTTGAAAATTAATTTGCTCCAAAAGATATGCAAAGTAAAAAAATAAATTTAAATATTATACATGAATAATGAGTAAGCTTTTATCACAGTTTCATTACCTTTATGGTATGGTGGTCATTAGTTGACCCTAAAATCTCTTACAGTACCTTCTTATGTTTCTTGGGCTTGGGTTGGTTGTCAGCAAAAACTTCGATCACCGTTGAGAACACTGAAACACTACTTACAATCAACGATTGTACGTCAAACAGCTAGTTGCGTGGAACTCGAACTCAATTTCTCAAATCTGCAGAAATATAATAATTTTCAACCGGAGAGGAAACTAACTAACTGTGCATGTTCTAGTTCTGTACATATGTAAGAGCTCTACAGAAAGCGAGCCCATGTTAATGCCAGAGGTGAAAATCCAACTCACGGCTTAGCATCAAACTATGCAAAAAAGTTTGGCGCCAGTTGGAAATACCAAGCAAAACGACGCCACTCTCCACCTGATCTTTCCAACGCAGTGGAGGTCTCTGCTTTCACAAGTGGATACCGCATCGAACACCTTTAAAGCTGGATGCCATGGAAAAAAGTAACTTGACTGCAGTTTCATGGAGGTATTTTTTAAGAGAGGACCTCTGGTAGTGTCAACAAGGACAACTGATGCGGCAATTTATTATACTTCTCCGAAACTAACAGGATTTTCGGTTTTACCAGATTTTCAACAAATACTTAC